AAATATTTGCAACAACCACTCATAGATTCAGTTTCTGCTACAACTAAGTGACCAATAAATTCTGCCAATAAAATTAGTCAGACTGGTTTGGGAGGTAACTACCCCATTTTTGGACTCACTGACTTGGCTTTCTGCACGTCTGTACTTAAGGCTCATGCTGAGAATCTTTGCCAGAGATGAGCTTCTACGGTGTATTAACTTCCTGAATAGAGACATGAACTTCAGGGTGTGGGACTTTGAATGATCTAAGATCTTCACTCAGGCAATAGGCATTCGGAAGACAAACATGACTCACTGGGCATGGGATCTCACAAACACGTAGGTTTGAGGGTTGGGAAGGGCTGGAAGGGATTCTAGAGTACAGCTTAACTCAGCAGGGTACAGACTGTTTCCTTTGTGAAGTGACACATGTCAGAGTTGTGAAACAGTGGAAACTGGAAAAGAGTACTTTGTGCTGAGCCCCATGGAGTCATGTTGTGCCCTAGCCCCAGACAGCTCTTGCTTTCTTCTCTGGTGTTCTACCATTTGAATGAAGCCACTGCTCTCAGACCTTTTCAGCTACTTTACCATATCAGTTATCTCTTGCTAAGAATTAAAGTGTCCTAAAAGTTAATGGTTTAGGTGTCCTGTGCACTCAAAGGTTGCTGGTTTGATTCCCCAGTCAGGGCACAAGCCCAGGTTGTGGGCTCAATCCCCAGTAGGGGGCATGAAGGAGGCAGTTGATTGATGTTATGCTCTCTCTCTCCTCTCCCTTCCTCTCATTCTAAAAGCCAGTTAACTCTTCTTCAAAAAATAAGTTAGTGGTCTAAGGTCACAGCATTTTATTATTTGGCTCTTAATTCTGTAAAATGAGCGGAGCTCAGCAGGGAAAAAAATTTGATGGTCTTGGTTGGGGTCACACTTGTAGGTAATGTCATCTGGAATCTCAACTGGGCTGGAACATCCTGAATGACATCACTCACATGCATGGACCTCAACTGGGAACAGCTGGGCACTGGCCTGGCCTCTCTCTCCCTCTCTCTTCCTCTTTCTCTCTCTCCAGTGGTTTTTTCTGCAGAGTAACCGAACTTCATGTCATGGTGATGCATGGCTGGCCAAGAGCACAAAAGCAGTAGCTGCCAGGCCTTGGTAAAGATATGCCCAGAACAGCCACAATGTCAGTTCTGTGGTGTTCTCTTGGTTAAAGAAAATCACATGTCAGCCCAGATTCAAGGAGGGGGAAACATTCTACATCTTTATGCAGAGTGGCAGAGAATTTCTGGCCATCTTTAATCCGCCACAAACCCCAATCATGTAGTCAGGGTTTATGGAACAAAGAAACATCTTGTTGCCTGCTCATTCTGTTCCCCCCACTACCAGCACCGCCCATGTCCCATTTGGAGGGAAACCCCCCACTCTAGGTTTCCATGGTGGCTTCCACTTCTCTGCCACCATCAGCCACCTTCTCTCTAATAACTTTCTTTCCACCTCATAATTTCTTATTATTCATGGGCTCTGATGCTCCATGGTATTACTGCCCTGTGGCTTTTGCAGCTCTAAAGGTTAGTGGCATACAGAAAAGAGTTGATGTAAAAGGCTTGAGACTGCTATTTGTAGGAAGACCTGCTTGCAAGGTAGAGCCTTGGGTTTTGGGGGGTGTATTAGGCAGGGTTCTTCAGATAAACAGAACCACATGGATGTGTGTACTTGCGTATGGAAAAGAATCAGCTCGTGTGTCTATGGACGTTAGCACATGTAAAATCTTCAGTGCGGACTGGCAGGTTGGAGACCCAGGAGAGCTGATCAAGAGTCTGAAGGCTGTCTGCTTGACAATTTCCTTTGACTGGGAGGCCAGTCTTTTTGTTCTACTCAGACCTTCAGCAGATTAGATGAGGCCCACCACATTATGGAGGACAATCCATTTACTCAAAATTCACTGATTTACATGTAATCTCATCCAAAAACTTCCCCCCAAATTGGTATGTAGGTCTAACCATCACAAAAGGATTCCCACATCCTCAGAACTTATGAGTGACTCATTGTGCCTAAACTGTTTGTACAAGGATGAGGCTCATGCGGAAGCTTCTATATTCCCACAGAGAACAGGGAATGGAATTGCCAGTTTGGAATTTTATTACGTGCTAGGCAGAGTCCCTGTGTGCTCGGCCCTCAGTAGCAACCCTCACTAATGAACTTCGCTGGTAGACAACACTTCACACATGTTGTTACAACTCATTGCTGGAGGGATCAGCGGGTCTGTGCCTTCGCTGGAGAGCACTCTGGGAAGCTAGTGCCTGGTTTCCTCTGGGTCTTGCCTCATGCTCCTATCTTTCCCATTGGCTGACTTTGCTTTGTATCATTTTGCTGTAATAAATCATCGCCATGACTATATGCTGAGTACTGTGAGTCCTTATAGAAAATCACCGAACCTGGTGGATCCCCAGCACAAGTAAGAAATGTAAATATTATGTCCTTAGTATAGGTCTGTCCCTAATCCTTAATACAACTGAAACAAAGCTGGAAATTATTTCATGTATTTAAGGTTTTATATGAGTGTAACACTATGCTACATATCATGATGCATTCTAAGGAGATGTTAGGAACCTAAAGGAGTGACCCAGGCTTCTTAGAGGGGTGGGCTATTTGAGTAAGTAGGGAAATGAGCAAGGAAGGTAGTGGAGCCCAGTGTTTAGAGTTCAGACTCTGGAGGCATGGCTTAGTCCAAATCTTGGCTTTAGTGGCTATTGGCAAGTCATTAATCAACATGAGCTTTAAATTTTCACATTAGAAGGTGTCATAATAACAATAATGGCTAATATATTATTAAATGCTTACCACATCCTAGCCACTTCATGTGTTAACTCACTTAACTCCCACAACAATCCTATTAGATATTATTTTAATCCTTATTTTACAAATTTAGAAACTGAGGCCCAGAAAGGGGTCTTGCTAGTACCCACTACATAGAGCATTGGGAAGCTTAAATGAGCTAATCCATGTAATGCTGTTGGATAGTACTTGGAGCATCAGAAGTATCCACTAAATGTTAACTATTATATTTTAAAACATAATAAAAAGGAGAGAAAGGGAAGAAGTTGGGAGCAGGGCCACTGCATGAATAAAGTACAGGAATATAACATAGCAGAAGCCTTCTGCAAGTAATGGGGAGACTGATGAGTGAAGAACTTTGATTGAATACTCTGTGTGCCATGCATTGGACTAAGCACTTCAGCCTCCCACATACAGGCAGGGATGTCTGATTAATGAGGGCTAGAAATGTGACCTCGGCACCATCAGTGGGTGTAAGTGGTGGCTGCCAGTCCCAATCATCCATGAGGGCTTCTCCACCTCCCCTTGTTCCTGAGGGGTGATTGGGGCAGCAGCTGCTGCTCGCACCCACTGCTGGTGCAGCTCCATCAGTGGTGTGAGTGGGGCTGGTGCCATCAGCATGTGGGAGTGGTAGCAGTGGAAGCAGGGCTGCTAGCAGAGAGGGGGCTGGGGAATGCAGTGGGAGGAGTCAGATGGGGGCATGGAGGATGGGCAGAGACCTGCCCCTGTGCCCACTGCAGCCTTGTGGTCCACAGTTCCTTTCAAGGTGCATGAAATTATGCACTGGTCCCTAGTTCTCTTTATAAATGATGCTTGTCTGAATGTTGGGAAGAGTCAAAGATGGCCAGAAGGATTTGAATACAGATGCCTGGGACACAGATGGCTCCAAGGAAAGCAATAAGAAAGAGGGAAGATGAATCCAGTCTTGAGAGATGATTGGCTTCATTTTAGGCACATTGAATGAGAGCAAATTTTGTAAGTTTGCTATGCTGAAAAAGAGAGCTTTTAATGAGTATGGAAAAGTAAAATTATAATCTTTGAGTGATACATATATGATCATTTTCCTGTTTGTGGCATCGTGAATGGCCTTTTTAAAAAAAAAAAAATATATATATATATATAATTGATTTTGTACAGAGAAGAAGGGAGAAAGATAGAGAGTTAGAAACATTGATGAGAGAGAGTCATCGATCAGCTGCCTCTTGCACACCCCCTACTGGGGATATGCCTGCAACCAAGGTACATGCCCTTGACCGGAATCGAACCCGGGTGCCTTCAGTCCCCAAGCCGATGCTCTATCCATTGAGCCAAACCGGTCTTGGCGTGAATGGCCTTTATTGTCCTATTAATTTAGATTATAGTGTATAGAAATATTTTCAAAGAAATAATAGATTTAGTGCAAAATAAAGTGAAAGGAATCCTAGAGTCTAGAACAATTTGCACTCAATTTGTGTTATAAGGGATTTTATATGATAAACTTTGATTATTGTATGACTGCTTAGCCTTACAGTGATTATATAAATTAAAACATACTGTTCATGGGTGAAATAAACCTTTTTGCATGGCTTTCTGTGAATAGTTCATGTCCAAACTGAGAGTATCATTGGAATCAGTTAGTCTTAGCTTGAATTCCTGCCCTGTGTGCACATTTGGACAAATTTCTTAATCTTGCTGAGCCTTAATTACCTAATATGTAAAGAGAAATGGAAATTAGACCCCTTTTATAGGACTCCTATGAGAATTAAGTGAGATTATATTTGCCACTCACATATAATTGGTAATTATATTGGCCTCAAAAAATATAAGTTCTCTATCCCTTTGTCCTCTGTATAATGATATTGAAGCTATTCGCTGCAGAAGAAAGTTACAGATATAATTTGAAATAGAACTACCGTATATTTATATTTGGGCTTTTGCCTTAATCAATGGAAGATGATGTACAAAATATATTCTATTGATAGTAAAGTCTTAACTGGGTGACTAAGTTCAGAATAGAAATATTAACAAAAAACACATTGCATTAAATATTAGTAAAACACATACCAGGTTGTATCTATAAAATCATTATTTTAAATCTTGATGCTTTACAATTTCTCCTTTCAATAGGTATTATGTGAAAAACCTTCCAATAAAAAGCTATTTAATATAAAGTTGATTTGATTGATATCTCATTACAAAATGCTAGCCTTCCCTAGGGAAATATGATGAAAACACCACTGACCAATGTAGCCAAATCACTTACACTATTGACAACTGATCTCATAAAAAGAAACTCATAACATGGTCTTGCTGACCCTGAAGATCTTATAAGATGCCCCATACGCCATGAGCACTATTGTAGCACCTAGAACTTATCCCGGGCTCTACACCTAGCTATACTCGTGTAAAATAGGTCTTTCCCTCAGGCTCTTAAGCTCTGTGATGGTAGGGAACATATTTGTCTATCTCATTACTATTTTCCTAGCATATAACCCAATGTCTAGCACCTCATAGACACACAATCAATGTTTGTGAAAGGATGAAGGCAGGAAGGTTGGAGGGAGGGGCCTCATACAGTACTTGGCAATGCTGTAAACACTTAAAAAAAAAAAAAACTTGTTTCATCGATGGAGTAAGTCACATTTCCTGTTTTTCTCTTAGTCATGTACTTTGTGGGACAGAATGTATCTTAGGCCTCCAGGAAAAGTCTCAAGGCAAAGATATTAATGAAAACCATATTCATTATATATAATATTCACTCAAGTTATATGAAGTGCTTACTGTGTGCAAAGTACTTTATATACATTAATTCATTATATTTTCATCATACACTATAAGAGAATTTCCATTGGACAGATGGAGAAACTGGGGCTCAATGAGTTTTTATAAGGTTGTTAACAGTGGAAATAGAATGAAAATCCAAGTCTGCCTGACTCTTCACTCCTCTTCACACCTCCCTCGGGCTCATTGGTTTCCATGTCTTCACTCAGAGCACAGGGGCAGGGTGGTCGAGCCTCCTGTGGGCAGGCTAAGGGAGGTCACATCTGCCTGAGCACAGAGACAGCCCTCCTGGGTTCATGCAGCCCATGCATGACAGGTGTTCTAAGTGTCTGACCACACATAGTTCAGAACTCAGGAGGCCTGTAGGAGAAATGAATGGTCAGGAGCAGCAAGGCAAGTTGTCTTCATAAAAGACCCAGTCAATAACAAATCCGAAAAAACAAAGGTCCTGAATCCCAAGGATCAGGCAGAAGACGGAAGCATTGCAGTTAAAAAGGGGACATGGGAGCTCGCTACAGGGGTCTTAGAAAACTTAGCAAAGGAATTGGGTCAGAACGTGATTGATAGAACCCAGAAAGAAAGAACCTTCTTCCCAAGGCATGATTCTTTGTTCGCCCCCAATCCCACCCCTACATCTACATACCATCTCTCCTCTCTCTCCCTTCCACACACATGCTTATGCATATGCACATGCATACACATACTAATGCTGCTAAAATGTTCTTACATGCTCCAGGTTGTTGGCTTCTGCTCTTCATTCAAACATGTTTGGAAAGCAGGGTTAAAATGTCTGGATCTAGGATTGAACTGACAGTGCTTATGTCTCTGTCTTCTTCATCTTGAGGCAAGAACGCGTATTCCATTTCTTTTTTTATCCCCCACATAGCACCTATTACTAGATACCATATGCTCTGCATGTACTTGGCACTCAATAAATGCTTGCTGAATGGCTGACTTTTCTTGTCTCCCCCACCCTTTCCTTCCCACTCCTACGGCATTATTTTAAAGATCTGCTTGCAGAGCTATGGGGCGAGGTTTAAAATCCATTTTGACAAATAACCCTTTTGGGTGTTTAAAGCCAAAAGATCGAATATTTAAAGCAGAAATATGAGCTGTGACTTCATGGGTGTTCTGTGAAGAGATGCATAAAGCTGTACAAATAGATAGCATTTCAGACAGGACATAACAGACCCAGCTTTGTGCATTTGCAAATATACAGAGAAGAGCCCGAACTTCACTTTGAACCGTATGTTTCCTTCTGAAACCAGTTTAAATAAAAGAGTGAAAGTAGTTAAATCTCCTATATTTTTTAAAGATCTTACAAATACTTTTGGCTTTAAAAGCCTATGTCATTGATTCATAATATTAAAACTATCCTCCCTCACTCCTTCCTCCATCCCCACAGACAGGAAAATATAAGCAGAAACAAGACTGGATTCCACAGGAATTGTGGGAGTGAATTGATTGCTGTAAAAAGGAGCTTTTAGACTCTCAGACAAGAGCTCTTGGTGCTGGGAAGTTTTAGAGGACTAAAGTAAGCATCTAGAGTCAGCAGATGGTTGAAGTACCAGAGCAGAATCAATCACATAGTGGCTCTGGTGAATGATGATAAAGAGCTTAGAATATAAGTCCCAAGAGAGAAATTAGCAAGAACTGAGCAGGTCCATTGCCCCATAGGGTCTGTTTTCTCCAAACGATGTTCAGGGTTCCCTGGCTGCCTAGGTTAATATGGCAGAAACCAGAGTGCAGCCTGCCTCTTCTCCGGCTCCAGCTCTGACTGTCCCATATTCTCTTAAAGCAGCTGATGTGGAGAAACGGTGAATGTCCTGAGCTCTTACTTCATACATCTATGTTCTAAAGGTGCTTTCAGCAAGTGGAAGCTGCTTGACAGGTATTATTTTTTTTAAACTTAGGTAAAACTAATTTCCACAGAGCTACGGCTGTCCAGGTGTTGAAGAGGTTACTTGGAGCTAAGGGTTTGTAAGGCAGTTGGACTCAAATGAACTTTACTACCTAGCTATATAAATTAAATTGACCTTACTAACTCTGGGTTACATTACTAATTTTTCCATTGCTAATATCAGAAGTGGACTCTCTTTCCATTTTATCCTTTGTTCTCATTTCCTATAAATTTAAAGCAGATCAATATCCTTGGGTTCTATATAAATTATATTTGTGCAAGGTGATTGGCCAGATGATACTCATTTGGATAAACAAAATATCTTAGTTTTCTTGATAATGTTTTATAGTTTACAAAGAATCTTCTCATTTCTCATTTATGAAATGCTAAAAAAAACTATATGGTAGGAATGATTATTATTGTCTTTTAACAGATGAGGAAATTGAAGCTCAGAGAATTTTATTCAGTTGATTATTATAATTTTAGACCCAATTATAGGTTAGGCACCAGAAATACAAAGATAGAAAAAACCTAGTCATGACCTAAAGGAGTTCACCATCTATTATGTATAACAAATAGGTAAATAAAACAATGATAGTGGCAACCTGGCCAGTGTTGTTAAATGGTTAGAGCGTCAGCCCACACACCGAAGGGTCATGGGTTCAATTCCCAGTCAAGGGCACGTACCTTGGTTGCAGGTTTGATCCCAGCCCTGGTCATAAAGCTGTACAAATAGATAGCATTTCAGAGTATGTACAGTAAGTAACCAATCAATGTGTCTCTCTCACATTGATTCTCTTTCTCTCTCTTCCCTTCCCCACTTTCCTTCCACCCTCTCTGAAAATCAATGGGGGAAAAATATATACTTGGGTGAAGATTAACAAAATAAGATCCACAAAATAATTATTGTGGCATATAATAAGTACTACATTAGGCAGAGGTACTTCTATATAGTGATGGCAAAAGGAAAGAATTAACAAATTTAGTTGGCTGTGAATGAGTAGCCTTTTCAAAGGAGGAGGCCTTTGAAGTGTGTCAGAATAAGATGAATTTGCCCAAAAGATGAAGCATAAAGCAGAGAAGCAGCAAGTGGCAAGGCACAGAATTATAGGGTAGGCACCAGAATGATTAATTCAAGAATAGCAAACAACACTTCAGCCTGGTTGTGAGTACAGAAGGCAGGAAAACGAGATTGGGAATACATTACCAGCGGGCAACAAGGAGGTTGTGGACTGATGTGGTGAGTCAGTGAAGTGAAGTCTTCAGAAACTCAGGTTCATTTGAGTTGTTTCACCACACGAGGCTTCCATATCTAAAGTTTCTTCCTAATTCTAAATAATTACTCCAGATTTAGCCATTGCTTCTATTCTAAACAGCAAAAAGGAGGAAAAGAAAAAATAAAAGGAACAAAGGCCCAAGCCAACTGTCTTTTAAGAAACTCTCTTAGAAGCTGCCATGGGACACTTCTGCCTACAACTCATTAGTCAGAACTAGTCACATGGCCACAACTACTGCTAACAACTGTTCATAGATTCTATTATGGTGACTAACATGCTCAGTTAAGATTTTGTGGTGCTATTACCGTATTAAGGAAAAAGGAGAGGATGGAATTTGGAAGACAACTGGGAGTATCTGCCATTGAGTGGAACGAGAAAGCTAATCATAGATTGTTATAAAATGTGAACCTTGCCTTCTGGATAACAGGATGTCATTGAAGGGTTTTGATTAAGTACTTTAGATGACCATATTTTTATATGTGATCAAGATATATGATACACTGGAGAAGGTGAGATTGGAGACAGAGGAACCAGTTGGAGATCACTATGGTGGTCCAGATGAAAGACAATGGAATCCTGACCTAGGTAGTAGTAGAGATAGAAAACAAATAATAAAGAAGGGAAATATACATTTAGGAAGTTATCTGTCATGATATTTGAGTAGTAAGGAGCAGGAGTCAAACCCCTACCTTCAACTCCAAGCCCATGTACATGGAATCCATCTCTCTTAAACAACATGATGGCAACTGGATTTCAAACTCCCACCAGCCCTTCAAGTCATGTTGTGAAAATCAGATAATTTGGTCTTGGTCCAGGAACTGAAGAGGCTCAAAGCAAGAACACATTTGTGGCAGGATAGTGTTTTGAGATATTTTCCATTTTCTCTTTCTGCATTCAGCCAACAAAAGATTCTCTGCTGGGCTTCTTAGCTTATGGTAAGTCTGCAATAGGACTTCTGAGGTTTGATTATCAGCACATGCAAGAGAGAGTTGAAGAGGGAGAGATTTCAGCCAGAGTAGGAAGACATTTTTAGATTCCAGAGGAGAAGATTGACACCGACTGGGGGACATGAAAGGAGATGAGGGGAAATGTCCATGAGGGTTACCAGGAAGGCCAGATCTTAGGTCTACTGTTACAAAAGATTTCTCTGCCCTCAGCATGATGCTGGAAGACCAACCTGGTGGGACAATGTGAGCTGGAAATAATCTACAGCTCAAAGGATATTTCAGAAAACTTAGCACCATATGAAATCATGGCAAAGCCTACTCAGCCATTAAATACCTTTCAAAAAATGAGAGCTAAAGGTTACAATTAATTGATGTGTAAAAATGAAAAGTTCACCGAAATACTGAAAACAAAGTTGAAAACGTACGAGAAAATAAAGAAAAGGACTGGATTCATTCCTACAGTTCTGCTCTGCAGAGGAACCCTGTGTGACAACAAGGCTTTCTATAGCCTCAGGGGTGGGCAATTCAGAACAGCTCCAGAACATAATTTTGTGACTGCCTCTCCTTTTACTTAATTCTGATAGAAACAAATTCAGACTGATTTTATGTCTATCTGTATTCATTATTTACTTGTAAATGTTCCAAATAATTCAGATCCTCCTTCAGAAGACACTCCAGTATCACTTAACTGGATATTTCAGAACAAATGTACTTCTTATTTGAAAATATTCAGATAGTATTCTAGTTATAATCTAATTTTTTATTTCATTATTACAAATGCTCAAATCAGGATATCTGTATATAATATTTATCCAAAGACCCTTTATTTATATAATATTGACAGCATATACAATCAGTATAATTTGCAAAATCAGCATGATTCTTCTATTTAAAAACATGTTTATTATATTTTATTTCTGGGGACAACATATTACACTTTAAATGTGGCTACAAATCAGAAGTTTTGGGAAGACAAATTTTAGTCCTGAAAGAAGAAAATATGTTATATCCCATAGAATTTAAAATAAATGAAAATGTTTTAGAACTCTGAGAAAAATCAGTTCTTTGTCTTTCTCTTCTATTTTGTCTACTATAAGCCCCTTTTGTCATATTTACATTCTATTTAATTTTCTCCATGCCTTCAAGTAGTTTTATTTTATCTTTAAAAATATTATAATCTAAAAATATGGAAAGGGGAATTCAACTAAGAAAATAATAATCAGAGCCATTCATGGCTCACGTGCCCAGACTAAGCTGTATTTATGAAAGAGTTGTGTGGTTTTTTTTTCTCTCTAGAAATTTAATGTGTAAATTAAGTTGCAGCAAGGCAAGTCAAATTATTCCCCGGCCATTTGTAGTATGCAATGTTTTATGTGACTTTTTACCCTCTTATTCAATAAAACAATGCGTACTTGTATAGTAGCCAGACGAAGTGGTGATTCATACTCATCTAGGAGATGCCAAGTACTGTACCTCCTTGAGGAAACACACTCACCATGTGTAACGGGAATACTTGGATTTCCTGAAGTGATTCAACTTTAAATTGAATTCAACATTGAACTGAGTAGCCATAGATGTTAACAATCACAAGATCGGATGAGTTTCATTTGCCTTTGTGCAACTCCCACTGGTTTATTACAAGCTAAGAAAGAGACATTTCCTTGTTAGGTTGAAGAGAAACATTTTCAGTCAAGGAAACTGATGAAAGAATTTGACCTGTTTCTTATTAATACAAAATAGTAAAGGATTTGGGCGAAAGGGTGGTCAGCCTTGGCTCTATGATAGAGAACTCCCACTGAGCTCTTCTCTTAAATTATGCAACTTCTAGCTTAAGAGGAACTCTGAGCCAGACTGGCCACTGGCTACATTATCACTGGTTTGATAAAGTAGGTCCTGGTCTCCATTAGAAAAGATGCTTATAAAAATCCATAGTGTGCTAGATATTAGGTCACCAGAAATTATTGCTTTTAAATGTAGGCAGAGGAGTACAGATTTGATGTGGCAGTACTAGGGATACGCAGTGGGTCATTGAGTGAGGAAATAAGGATTTCATTGAAAATGCAAGTTCACTCCCAAATTCATAAACACAACAGTTTAGAGAAATCCAGCTACTTTATCATTTGGGGACAGTAACCACAAAATGAGGTTCTTGGACTACAAGGGTGAAATTATAAGAGCAGGAGTAAGGATGGGGGAGAAGGAAGCAGCTTTAGGCGCTATATGGGCATGGCCACAGTAGGGTGAAGATGGCTTTTGTGTACAGCTTGAACTAAGCCAATTAAAAAATAAGGTCATTTGGATGTGTATGCAAGGCAAACTGTCACCACAGAACTTGAGTGTATTATCCACAGCATCTAGGTCCTTTAATCACAGAGTGTTTAGAAGGTTAGAATTTCAACCTAAATAATGAATGTATCACAGCAAGGTTCTACATAAACTGAAAATTGGGGTATCTGAACTGAACTGCCAAGAAGAAAGCCTGAACTGAAATACTTGACTAGTATTCCTCAAAGTTGTCAAGGTCATAAAAAAATCAGAAAAATCTGTCACAGCCAAGAGAAACCTACAGAAACATGACAACTAAATGTAATGTAGTTGTAGTCTCTGGGCAAGATCATAGAACAGAAAAAGGGAATTAGGGGAAAACAGGAATATTGAATAAAGCACGGTCCTTAATGAATAGTAATGCATACATTTGATTAATTAATTAGGGCAAATGTACTAGAATAACTAACATAAGATGTCAATAGGGGAAACAGCCTAGGGTATATGAGAACTTTCTGTGCTACCTTTGCAATTTGTTTGTAAATACAAAATTATTCTATAATTAAGTTTAGAATGGCCTTTTCTTGGACCTGAAATAAGCAGAGCTCATTCTTTTTCCTTATGAAAAATATTTTTGTTCAAAAGTTGCTGCTGTTAAATGTGCAGAGCCTGTGCTCATACCAACAACTTGACTAAGCTGATCTTACATCAAAGCACTTCCTGTTTCCCTGGAGCATGTACTCACTGAATCTCCGCAGCAACGAAGAAATTGGGCTATTATCTAAGTACTATATTCTATTGTATGCTGCAATAGCTCACACAGGGTAACTTCTAATGCTGTAAACAGTAATTGTATGCTGCTCCTTACAAACTCACATGCACACGAACTTCAAATATTCCTGCTGTTGCCATCCAGAGCCTTGCAGATGAGAGATGTGTAGACTGGACCAGTCACAACACTAAAGGAGAGGCCGTAAGAACTGTCCTCCCTTTCTCCTACAATGGTTTTAATATCTATATAACATCAAGATCACTACTGCAGGCTCTCCCATCGGTGCTCCCAGAAGAACGATAAGTGAGACACTTTCCCTGAGACAAAAAGGGAACACACAACATTGTGTGCTGTGTGTTCCAAACAGTGCCAATTCAATCTGTAAGATAAAATGTTTTAGAAGATCTCAATATTTAAATTTCTAATTCATACACAGATACCAAGATATCCTCTAGCTTTTTAATTACAAAAAGCAATGCCTTAAAAAATGTAGATATAGTTGGGCTGTGTTATAGAGAATTATCAACTCATTTTTTTCTTCCTTTTTCTTCCTAAAGATTTTGAGATAGACTCTAATAACACTTTGAAAATTAGAGTTTGAATTATTTTGTTTCAATGGGTACTTTTAAGAAAAGGAAGTTAAATGAGGTATTTTAGACAAATTAAGCATAGGCCCTGAGCCCTTACCACACCAGGGGCAGAAATCTCATGACACTTGGTCCTTTGCAGATGGTATTTAGGAAAGCAGCAATATATGAGAAAGCAAGAGATGCCTGAAATGTATCTCTAAATGCAATAATAATAGTAAAAAAAACATTCTAATGAATTTTCTTAGTAGTTTCCTCTTCAGATGACACCTACATGGAGGCATGAGAATGTTCTCAGGTAAAACATTCTAAGTGAAGACATGTATAATCAATTGGACTTCAAACATTAGACCTGATCCTCTAGTAAAAACAAATACAAATATATCATATTAGGTTGTAAAATTCTGACATTTTGAGCCATTATTTTAGGAGCTACTAATTACATTAAGTAAGGATACTTAACTTCACTAAAAACCCTTCTTAGTGACTAATTAACTAATTAGCTAATTAGGGTGCTATATGTTAGGATATCCTATCTATGAAGATTTGATCATATATGAAGTTGATAATCCTTAAAATGGTGAAAGTAAAAACTGTCTAAGTTTTAA